ATGAAGGCGCCGGAGGAAGTTCGGCGGAGGGGTTACGTACGTCAGGGATTGCTGACGCGGGGGCGAGCGCTGTCGGCGAGGTGGACCCAACAGAGTCCTCGGACTCGGACTCCGAGACTCCTTCTTTACCTGCACCCTCCTCAGGCTCTGGCTCTGGCGCAGGGTCTGGAGGGAGATCTCCTCAAGCTTGACTGGACTCGGCGACAGTTTGGGGAAGGCGGGAGGTAGGGGAGACAGGGCGAGAGTGCCGTGAGGCGGATCGAGATGCGAGGGTGCTTCGGGGTCCGAGCGGGTGTTGAGCCCGTCTGATGGCCTTGTAGCGAGGGTAGTCTTCCTCGATCGATCGGGGTGTCCGATTTGGGCACGGCTGCTGCTCACAACGGTAGAGGACAGTCTCAGGGCCGTCTGGGATGTAGACGTCGATGAGGTCCTGGGAGTCGAAGGCGTGGATCTGGCCTTGGCAGGCAGCCACGATGGTTGGGGGGAGACGGGAAGGTGCGTGTACTACGAAAGGCCGTGGTAGACTAGCTTACACCTACGGCGCCCGAGATGACACTAGGGTTCGCGATTCACGTGGGGCCCAGTACTGCTTTTGGCTAGTATGCAGCAGGAACCTAGTCCACGCGTCCGGTTAAGGACAAGCACCGCCCACTGAAGTGCAGGTGCTGAAAGGTTCGTTCCCTGAGTGTTGGCGATGTAATGTAGGCTATCTACGTATCGTATGGTATTGTAAGGGTGCGCACCACCCGACCTATGGGAAAGGAAAGTGTGAGTGTGTGGGTTCTGAGAGAACGCCGGTCGCTTGGGAGAGTTTCGACCTAATGTCGCGACTTGAGGTCAAGCGACAGGGAAATATCTAGAAGCAAGGGGCGTCCAACTGGTTCTCACCGAAGCGATGGTGAGCGAGGCTCAAACCTAAGGCTAGGGACAAGAATGTATTAGTTAGTAAGTAAAAGAAGTAAGTACAGGAGAGCTTACTGACCTAGGGACAAGAGGTCGAAACTGAGGTCCCTAGGGCAGCAGAGGCTGGTTTATATACATGGGAAGATTTAGGGCAGGCTGTGCGCACTGGTCCGTGCGCAGCTGGTCTGTGCGCAGCATGCCGACGCGGCCCCGGGGGCCGGTGAGTCAGAGCGGCTGTGTCAGCGGGGCCCGAGCTGTGCCGTGCACTGCCGTCCTATCTAATCTAATCGTACAGTAGATAACGACGTGTCCATATCAGGCAGGTAGTACAGAGGTCACGGGTTCGAGCCCGTGAAAAGGAAAAATTAAAAAACGGCTAGGCGCCGTACCAACTCGTGACAGCCAGCTCTACTTGTGCTGCCGCCTCATCATCGAGATTTCTGAAGCGGGCCCTGAAGACGGCGGCAAAGGCTGCTTCGTTTGCGAACGGGGTCGTGGCCCCTTGCACACCCACCTGCACCGATGCGAGCTGGGCAAAGTAGGGAGTGGCCCAGGCGCAGGCATCTCCATCGAGCAGGCTGAGTGCGACCTGCACCTTAAGCTCGATGGTGGTCAACGATGTGTTGACCAGCCAGTAGATGCGCAGCTACAACAGGAACCGGTTGCATTTGATGACTGTTTTGCCATCGTATTGGAGGGGGAGGAGAAGCTTCAAAGTCTCCTTGTCGGGGGCGGCTGCAGGGGACAACATTATCGGCGTCGGGGGGGACGGAGGACGCTGCGGGGGCGGAGGCGGCTGTGGTGGCCCTCCGCTGGTCGAACTTCGAGAGGAACGAGTGCTCGAGCGGCCTCTCGGCGGAGTCGGCGGTGAAGGCACCGGAGGAAGTTCGGCGGGGGGGTCACGTACGTCAGGGACTGCTGATGCGGGGGCGAGCGCTGTCGGCGAGGCGGACCCAACAGAATCCGAGGACTCGGACTCCGAGACTCCTTCTTTACCTGCACCCTCCTCAGGCTCAGGCTCTGGCGCAGGGTCTGGAGGGAGATCTCCTCGCGCTTGATCGGCGACAGTTTGAGGGAGGCGGGAGGTAGGGGAGACAGGGCGAGAGTGCCACAAGGCCGATCGAGATGCGAGGGTGCTTTGGGGTCCGAGCGGGTGTTGCGCTCGTCGGATCGCCTTGTAACGAGGGTAATCCTCCTCGATTGATCGGGGTGTCCGATTTGGGCACGGCTGCTGCTCGCAACGGTGGAGGATAGTCTCAAGGCCGTCTGGGATGTAGACGTCGATGAGATCCTGTGAGTCGAATGCGTGGATCTGGCCCTGACAAGCAGCCACGGTGGATGGGGGAAGGACGGGGAGGTGTGCATACTACAATGGCCGTGCTACACTAGCTTACGCTACGGCGCCTGAGAAGACACTAGGGCTCGCAGTTCACGTGGGCCCAGTACTGCTTTTG